GTGTGATATACCTAATAAACAAACTAATATGGAAAGGTCCCACTCTCCGGGGCTTGGACTGGTACGGCAATCAGGCGTTCTTGATGTTTTAATCGCTTTGGAGGACCTCTGATTGTCTTGATAAGAATGTTTAGGACAATATATCTAATGTAGCTTATACCTTGCCGCTGTCACCGAACTCTTACTAACTACTCCTCTTTGAAGAAAGAGGCAAACATGACGTAGTAAATGCGAAGAGTGATGACCAAAATAGTAAAAGAAACATCGTATCAGAGACTCGCGTGAACCTTGCTTAAGTCCGTCCTTTATTGTATTATGCGCTAAAAAACCAAGTACATTAACTCAGATTACCCAGGCTAGAGTTGGTGCTTTTTCTCAGTTATGAGTTTAATTACTCACAGGAATTGTTTTTAAACAGTTTGGTTCCTCATTCATCCGAAATTTTATAAGATTCAGTGGTTTTCATTTTCGATTATCTAATAGTTGTCCCTCAGGTCATATATGAGTTTTATAGTCACAGTTTATTTTGAAAAATATGCCAATCAAAAATCCGTTGTGGGAGACTCATTACGCAGTTTCCAGTTGGCGAAAGTACATAGTGTAACTACTGCAACAATTGGTTCCACAACATGTGCACCAAATTGCCCCCTGAGCATACAAACGTTGCTGCAAACCACTAGCACACTGGTTGTGCAGTGATTGCTGCAGGACCACGCAGTATCATATAAAAGCACTCATAGCAATGTTTAAAGGTAGATTGAACTGCAACGGTCTCTAGCCACGGAATAAAAGCAACCAGTAGTCAGACACCGATAACGTGGTTAGCGTCACTGATAAGACACTATGCACACTGGATGCGTTATCATCAAGGAGCGAGGGTCCTTTGCCACAGGGGAAAATCCAACGTGACTCAGACATAGGCACGCTAAAAGTCTGGATGGTTAAGGCACTTCAAGTCCATTTTTATCCAGGTTAGTTGGCCACGTCGGATTGCTATTTGCCAGCCCCTCATTCACTTACTGGTTTTTATGTTTGTTCTGCAGTTTTTCGCAACTTATCTTGATGCAGCTTATTCATGTCGCATTTCGCATCATTTTGGTTTTCCTTGTTTCGGAAGCTTTTGCCCTGATTTGAGTTCATTTGATTGCAGTTGTTTCATACGTATCTTTCATGCTTGGTTGCAGTTTTCTTGCCATTTTTCAGCTGTTAATGAAATAATACTACTTAGAAGTTTGAGAATTTGGAAAATTTATGACATAATTTTATTAAAAATCATTCACTTGCAAAATTCGCCAAGTGAAATTTCAACCAACATGCCGAATAAGTCATGCCGTTGTTTTTGCCATCCCAGATGAGCCCCAAAAACATCCATAATGAAACGGCCCTAGGAGACCCTAACTTCAGTTCACCTGGTGCTGCCAAGAGGAAAACATCTAACATCACTCAGGAACTAATAGTAGGAGTTGCCCGTCATCTACGGCACAAGTGGATAGTAGGCAGCCACAATCAAGGTCAGGTGGCGAAGAGAGCGGCAGTCAATGACGGAATGCACTCTCTCTCAAAAAGCGAGACTTGGCCACTATAAAAGACTGACTGTCCTTGAAGGACGGGAAGACATTATAAGGCCAGGGCGAGAAAGTCATTCAAAGGAAACGAGACTTCTCCGTTAGGTCTCCCATCCTCCAAAGAGTGGAAAAATTTATGACTTCGGACCCCAAGGCCAGGTTTGAACATGACTCTATTCTAGTTAAACCAATATAAGACAAGCTGCTGCCAGTAGCGGTGTAAGCGCTCATAGATTGTACAGAATCTGTCGAAAGGTTGGCTCGACAGCTAATTGGTCAGTGAGACTGAGAGTTGTGGTGAACTCAAAAACTGAGAGGGATGCTAAGCAGCAACTATTAAAGGATAAGACATCTACTTCCGTGTTGATTTATTCCCAGCAGGCCACAACAAAAGACAGCCTCTGCCTATATAATGAAGCAAACCCCATTTAAACGGCGAGAATAATCTAATTATTAAGTGTTTTTGAGTTGTGAAAGTTCGGATTCTAATAATTCTGATAGCTCTATGGAAACATGATTCACATCCAATATCAACGACAATGAAGTTAATCTCCTAAAACTTTTCGTATAGAGCAGACCGACTAAGATGTAGAGAAGGTGGTGTGTCCATCCACCTCAAGAAATGCCAAAGCTCACATAGAAGTGAAACTCACGCACACGAAAGTTGATCATGACAACATCAGCGCCACAAACAAAAACCCACGGGAAAAGACATCGACCTCATTGCAATTTATTACAGTCTCGATTGCAGCGCAGATGACTTTCCAGTGAAAAAGCTGTGCTCGTGGACATCCAAATGTCGCAGTCTCGTAGTCGGCTAGTTCCAAGCCAAACATCTGACCGAACGAACCGTTAGAATCTACTGTTTTTACTAGCCCTAGTACGTGTCACGATGCTGACATGCTATAAGTCATTGCACTCCTCTTCAAACTTGAATCTATCTTCCCCCATGAGAAGCATGTGAACCTCATGCTACATCTTACACCCCCAGGGAGAAGTGGTTACTCCACTGTCACCTTCAGGTTCACACTCCGCAGCATCGTGCACCAAGACTCCAGCTCGACCAAACATCTGGAAAGCCGATATAAACGTATCGTCTCAGGGGCTGAATCACTGAACTTGCATATCAATCCTGAATCTCAAGTGGTAGATGAATGCAGCCATTTCAAGCATCTTTAAGCTTAGGTGACCCGAAGCTTCATTTTTTCGTTCGTCTAAAAGGGTTAAAATCATTGTCCTCATGGATAAACCGAGAGTTTCATGTATTACTCTGGCGTAAGCATAAATGCTTGAGACCTCCAGATTCAGAAAGTTGTGCAAGGTCTCCAGGAACAAAGCTACTGCGGAAATCCATCAGTCAAGGATTGAGTTTTAAGTGCATGTAGCCTGAAATGTAACGGTAGACACTAAGAAAGTTCTTTCGTATATTAACTTTAGATATAAGACATCCAATGGAGTCCCAAAGCTAATTATTAACAACGGCACGGTGGAAGGGGACCAGGAAAAAGCAGAAGTAATGGCGCACTACTTTTACAAAGTTTTCACACAGGGCTCGTCACTGCCCACAGTATCAGCTCTGGCAACATCAGAGTGGAACAGGATAAATTCCGCCCGTAACGACGAAAACATCATATTCCATTCTCAAAAGGGACCGGGGCCCTCTTATTTATCCTGAATACCAACGAATTACCTGTTTTGACCATACCGGCCGTGGTCCTTTACGCAGATGACTTAAAAATTTGAAGAGTGACATATTCGCGTTCCAAGGAGATCTCAACAAATTGTTAGATCGGTCCAAAGAATGGATTCTCCTGATCATCCTAGCGAAGTGTACAAGTATACGCAGTGGACACGCAAACGTCAGCTCATACGAAGTGCAGAGAATAACGCCCCCATCAGTTCAGACTCATATGGATCTAGGTGTCATGGTAAGCGACGAATTATAAACCACGGCACTCTGCAACGTGGTACCAACTCCAAGTTTCATATCTTTATGGACAATACGCAGAACGCCCACTAGAATAACTAGACATATGTTCACTTCTTTATGTACATCTCTGGTGAGATTAAGACTGTATCCAGGCAGCCAGTTAATACATTCTAGAAAGGGTTCGGAGGAAGGCAGCAAGTGTGATTCTTGACATGGCAAATTTATCGTACACTGAGAGACTAGATAAATTGAATATGTGATCTTCGTTATATCGTGAAGAGATTTCACTAAAGTGTTTAGTTTTAAATAATCGCCATGGACCTGATATATCTACCGTTTTACATCACCTCAGAGGAGAGAGCAGGAGATTTCAGAATCCAGGTAGGAACCTATGGAATACTGGTTCGCACAAGGAGTCATAAGCTCCTGAAACGGACTCTCAGAAGGAGTGGTGTCAAATGAATAATTCAAGAAGGGTTAACAAATTTATTAGAAAAGGACTAACTTGGGCTTCAAGCTTTCTATCCCCTATCAACATATATGAATCTGTAACTCTTTGAGAGAAATGGGGTAACAATTTTAGGCCTCTTTTCGTCATCATATCGTGTAAAGGAAAGTGATGATAATTTTTCAACTAGCCTTTATTGCCTACTTGCGTGTAAGTTTCATTAATATTTCCACTCATCCTTGGGTACCTCTACCAGGTCATTATGAGAACTCTAAGTAAGTTCGACTGGTCGAACCGACTAGGAGCAATATTCACAATTTTCCTGTGGGTAGAAAACTTATAGGACCCATAATTACGATGTGAGGCTTCGAAAGAAAACCTGAACATTCCAAGAAATGCATAAGGCAGGGATTTACACGCACCAGAATCCTAATAACCTTCCTCCCATGTTTAAAATTTTAAATAATGACTACGGACCTGACCTATTCTTTCTTTCCCTTCCCAACAGGTCGGAACACCTTAGAGGACATAGCAGGAGAGTTCAAAGGCCAAGAAGAAATCATATTGCTGTTGAGTGGACGCCTTTAAGCGAAGGCTGAACAATCGTGCAGCAACACAAGGACTGCGTCCAAATGGCCTATCCCCTTAAAATCGCATACACCATTCAAAGGTAGGCAATTAAACTGGTCGTTTTACTTCTTTACATTCTCTTCAGTCTTACTCTCCTGACAGCTTTAACTACACCTATTATTATTATCATTATTACTGGTATATATATATACCGGTTGACTGACTGTTATTATGTTTTCTTATTCTTTTTCTGTCTGTTAGTCTGAATACCTTCACTAATTATATCTATTATTATTACCTCTTTTCTTTTGACGACGATGCCGGAGGACTAACTAGTGAAAGGATCAACTCCATTCACAGCAGTAACAGTCTTAACGCACCTCATACTACAAACCACATATAATTAACCCCAGCACTACTCCTTTTGGGGTCAACCAAAGCTACGACAGTCGAGTGGCGGGACGAGCTACGCAGACGTTTACCGAAGATCAGGAACCTCTACCTCACAATCGAGAGGCGAGCACAAAGAAATCAAATTGGTTTATACTAGCTCGTAAAAACGATATTGGATATTGGAGTCATAAACTCTTGGAACCGACTACCAGAAGAATTGGTGTCTGCAACCTCACCTGACTCATTCAAGAAGGGTTTGGAACAACACAGAAATTTACCAGAAAAGGATTAACATAGGCTCCAAGTCTTCTTTCCTCAACCAATAAATCTGAATCTGATATCTGAATACTGAACAAAAAGTGTGGGTTGTTTAAACATTGCGACACAACCATGTGAGTTTCTTCAATATCGATATTTTAGATTATAGGGCTGAAAATGATGTGATTAAACTGAAAACAGTGCCTGTTACACTTCTGAAAAGAAGAAAACGGGTTGGCAAGGATATCATAAAACAACAGCGAGTACGTGCTGAAGAGATACGCAAGCGTGCTAAGAAACGGAGGAGTCAAATACGACCACCGGTTCATTTCATCAGAGTTAGAATTGTGTTTTAGTAATATAGGTTTTCAGAGGAGTATCAAACGAACACAAGATCAGCTGCGCTTGGAAAGACTTGTCAACAGGAAGCCTCCCATCTTATCAGCTGACTACCCAAAGCTGGGAGTTGTAATTAGATTGAAGCAAGAAGTTGACCAAGTTTCAAATGTCTGCAAGAATGTGTTTCGTTTGTTGCGCCTTGATACGTACAATCAAGCTGTCTTTATCAAAGTTACCGAGGTACTGTCACTTTTGTCACTAATATATTTTCCTTAGGCAACTCTCGAACTTTTAAATATTGCTTCACCACATATTGCATGGGGATATCCGTCAATACAGGTAGTTCGCGATATGGTTATGAAACGTGGACGCACGATGCTTGGAAGACATAAACACTCGATAGATAACAAGATAATAGAAGAGAAATTGGGTAGGTGTTTGGTTGTGACAGGTTTTATATCAACATGTCTTAGTTTATATATCATTTTCAAAGAGAGTAATAACATATCCACTTTAATTCAGCTTCGCACATAAAGCAGTGCATCGTGAATGGAAGTCCCGTAAACCATCCTTATCTCAGCTTGTGTTCAGTTATTTTTTTTCGTTTCTCAAATATTTGTTGTCACCATGACATTTAAGAAATGACAGTATCTAAGAAACCGGTGAAATCAAAAGAGTTTGTCTGGTTAATTGTATATTGCCTTAATTTGTAAGAGATCACGCACCAGATCCTATCATGCCATGAAATATATATGAGCAACTAAGTATGGCTTGTAATTTCTAAGCTTCTGTTATTTGGAGCAACGTAGTAAGGCATTGGATAGCACCCTTGAACATGCATTTTGTAGCATCGTTAATGAACCTAATATGTGATCTGTCTCTTTGTCAATATTTTCAGCGTATTGTGCTGCCATTACGCCTTTATAATGAATGCCATGTAACCTTGTCTATCCTTTCTAATGGAAACACCTCAATTACATATTTGTTAAAGTCCAGATAAAGTAGTTTATTCCATTACCGTTGTCACGAAGTAATAGAGTGCCTTACTAAGACGTTTTATCCGAATAAATGCGGCATGTTCTCTATTAATCACGGTTCACAGCCGTATATGGTAACGTCTGGAGACACTGATTCGAATAGTCTCTCGGACCCCACTCCGAAGTTGGTGTTCCTAGATGGCAACACTTGTTGAAAAACAGTCTTCACTGTCTCCAAACACATGTCCGGGAACCTTACGTGATGATGCCATCGAATGCAATCAATTTCAAGAGGGTATCGGTAGTCAGATATACAGAATCGTCGTACATCTTCAGCTCAGAGTGACTGGGTTTCATATGCATATATATATATATATATAACCAGACTACTCACACTGAAGCATTGTAAACCCAACATTTGACGATCAGACGTGGCTCAGGTTGGCTATCACAGACGAAATTAATTTTTCAAGTTCCTCATTTAGAAGATAAATGGTTTGTTGGTAATAATAATCACTGAACTCAAACTGACAGAAATCTGGTCCAGTTAGTTGTAAGTAGTAGTGATTCATTTTTGTGATGATTTGAGTCAACTACGTATTTTGATATCAGGTTGTGTCATTTCCAGATAATTTTCTCAAACCTTTCAGACTTTCAGATAACCATTCTTACATACTGAGTGTACTACTGTTGTGCAGATACTCGTAGCTTGAAACACTAGTGTTTATCTATTCCCACTTACATGCAAAATGGATAAATGATTTGAATTGATTACCTTAAATGATCTTCGACTGCTTACAAAGGAGTTACATACTTCATCATCTAACCGTTCTGTTGACTTGACTATTTGCTACAAACTGGTTTTTGTCTTCAGACTTATACAGTATCTTTATATGTTCATGATGAAAACTTGGCTAGGTAGCATAAACATCTGTCTTTTTTAGTTTGATGTCAAGCTTGATGGGGAATTACAGAAATTAAACCTGGTTTATTGGTCTTGCTTGGCTAACCTCGTTTGTCACTGCATGCTGTGGAATATCAGTGTATTAACCTCACTTATTAAGGTTATTTTGTCCCTATAATGAACTAGTCGCTGGTTAAGTTTCAGCATAAGTCCAGAGGACTTGTTTGACGTCTGAAAAACTACGTCCTTTTGGTTCAAGTAAAATGTACTGATATCCATCAAGGAGATTTTGTATTGCTTCTTTCTTTCTGTCGTATTTAATGGCTGACGTGGCTGCTGAAAGTAAAGACATAAAAAATTACAAGTCCTTGATTGCAGGTTTTGTTTCGCTATTCAGATTAAGTGCTAGTTCACTGAGATATTGACTGTCAAATTGAGCCACAAATAAAGGTGCCAGTCGCCTTGTGAGGTGATTAGAATAGTGAAAACTGGTGGTTGAAGTTTCTTGGTGATATGATTCAATATCAGTCGCGTCAACATAAATGTATCTACTCTATATCAAAAATGTAAACATCTCTTTACTAAATTCCTATTTCATTATAGTACCGTTCTATTTCTGTTCTCGTTTTTGTATGCAGTTTTTGGAACAGCAGCAACTTAAATTAGTGCAATTTTGTGTAGAATTGTATTTTGAGACATCAATCACTTGATCAGTGATATTTTGAAAGGTGGTTATATTTTGTGTAGGCACCGATACTACTTCTTGATCAATTAAACGATAGATTCGCAAAGGTTTTCAAATTTATGCCCAAATAGTGTGAATCAAGTATTTTACCTGATAGAGTTTTATGCTCGAAAATTCTTTATTTCTTTGTTAATTGGACCCCTTTGAAAATTGTGTCAGCATATTTAATTTAAGAGTTATCTTTGATTTTTTGTAGGTTATTGTGGGATATTGTGCTTAGAAGATATCATCCATGAACTTGTAACAATCGGTCCGAATTTCAAAGCTGTTCAGCGCTTTTTGTGTCCATTCAAACTTATGCCATCCAGTCGGGATTGGATGTCAGGTTCACGAAGATGTCACGCACGCTCTGACTTTTTGACTGCTTTTCGCGAGGAACAAATCAATGAAATGATTCGTAGAATGATTTAAGAGCACAAATAAATAGTGTCAATTAACTTTTATCTCTGTTCTTTTATATGCATTTGTTATAAATTGGAAGCCTGTTATTCAGTATTTTTTTAGTGCTGAGGGTTGTTTTTTACTCTCTATTTCTAGTACATGAATAGAATGGTCAAACGACTACCATAATTAGGACTTTAAATGTTACGTTGTTTCCAGCACTTCATTTATTTTCGTATGTTCGTTTGATAAGCAGTGATATGGAAAGTTCTTGTCCTAGGAGAATTCAGTTAATTGATAAACACGTTGGTTTAAGGGCGTCACAATTGTGCACTCAGAGATACTATGTTAGGTTTGTTGGCTAAGATATTTATTTTGTAAGGTTGCAGATACGCCTTGCTGACGAGTGCCAACTAGCACGAAACCTAGGTCCAAGGCTTCCTGCCGATTGCCTCCAACCATCCAATATCATCACAAACAATGTACACCGTGATGGCGAGCTACCTAGAATGGTGGCCACATTACAACCTGACTGATAGAATTCAGTCTGCACCAAAGAGAGGACTAGATGCATCACACTAGTTACTAGTGTCAAATCAAAAAGGTATTGATATTCTCTTAGTTTGGTTACCTTGTCAAATTTCAAACCATGAACCTGGTCTGGTTTCCATTCCCGACGATCGCACTCTTAAACATCGCGTAGTCTACTAGCCGATGGTAAACCCTGGAAAAGATGGAAGCATGGGCGTGTGTGGATAGCAATTTTATCATGTAAGGAGTAACATCCCAGCCACTGAGACTCGAAAGCTTGAAGCCGTATGTTCCACTTGGAATGCAGATTACCTCTTCGTCGAATTTCGAAGCCTTGTTTCTATTGTCTTGTTGACTGTAACCTAATTTTACTTGTCTTATCTCTCGAAACCACTTCTGGATAGTTGTATTATGACACAGCACCCCTTATTGTTCAGTGATAGAATGTTTTATGTTTCACTTAGTACACATACGTTTGTGCAGACTTTGGAAGTGATTTCGTCAATAAGTGGAATGTTTCTATATAAATTTTCTTAGGTTATCCGCATAATTCAATGAAAATTCTCTGTCTGATGTTACATAATTAAATTTTGATTAACCATTTCCCAACTAGGACTAGATCTCTTCATACATATAACGCACTTATGAAATTTCAACTTTTCGGTGCTATGTCAGACCTACTGATCAGTATGAAACTGGTGTTTCTGCACTACTTAAATAGAAATAAAATATCCTATTTACCTTACTGTCTAGCAGTGAATCAAGAAGGTAGCCGACGAAATACTGTATGACTAAGTTGATTTGAAATGGCATAACTGTGTGATGTCTCGAAAGCAAATGATGTGAGGCTACTTGTCCGGATGTTGGCAGAGGAAATCTGACGAAGTTTGTAAAGAGTCGGTATTGTGGTCCGCCAGAATAGGAATTCAAACTTTTCCACACATCTGAAAAGTTTCTATCCTTACTTGGTATATTGTTTAGTTATCTGATATTTCCGATTGTATCAAGCTGTTGCGTTTTAAGATTAAATATTTTGAACAACAACAATATTTTGAACACTGCACAAAATATCCTGTTCTAATACACTGCATAGTTCAGATAAACTTTATTTTATCATAACAATAAATCGTTGTGCTTCATTTATTTATAGGAACTATAATTATTGTCAGTACATTAAGAACAAAGTAATTAAGAAATTTCTTTATCCATGGTAGTTATAGTTTAAAACGTGTTTAAAGTACATTTTGTCCGGCATTTTCTTGAGATATTGGATTGGTACGGTGAACCTCTGCTGGGCCAAACACTCCCCTTTATCTCCATATTAAGTTAGTTTCCGTAACAGCATATATATGTAATATAAGCCTCGTGTCGGTGGGTGCTTTTCTTTCATACATTGAGTTGTATTTTGAATTTATGATATTCAGATAATAAAGCTTATTCCCAGAGGTTTTATACTTATTTCATGTCGTCTCAAAGTGTCCATTGGTTAACAATGAGATATCTGGTTTGCTTACATATCTAGAACTTCGTGTTCCTTGCTTATATTCGATGAGACTGCAAAGTGTTCCTAAGTTATTTTGTGCATCACTCACACTCGAAGTGTTGTAACCCTCACCATCTCCTGTAGTTTCTTTTTTATCGTGAACTAAGTACTCGTCGAATAATTGCAAATTTTTTATCGTGAATTCCTTCCATATTGTTGAGGGCTGTTGTAATAGTAAGCATAATCTAAGTAGGCGTTTTGTGGACTTCACTGTCTCAAATGTTGGAGGCAGCATTATTTTGACGTGAGCACAGGCACCATGAGGCAAGTGGGCATTCTTCATTAGCTCCAATTTAAAAAGTTCCACCCAGGTGGATTCTCCTGTGTCCTAAAGAATTAATTGTTATCATGTGTTACATACTACTTACTGTTTCCTGATAACAAAGTTGGGCTGAAACACGTTTGCAGTAAGAGTTTGTGAAGTGGATTTCTTTGAGATAGGTGCATACATCGGGGTCGAATTCGTACTCTTTTATTAAACACCCTTGTGCATTGATGTTCTGAGTTGATAACCGTAGACCGTAAGTTCGTTCTTCCTTTATTTGTAAAACAACCATTGTTCATGTCGCATGTATTATTCAAAGTCAGTAGAGATTGGAGAAATCTGAAACATCAAAATAAACTTATAGCTTTAGTTCTTGTTAATTATTTGAATTGTTTAGCAGGTTAAAAGACAAGTATTGTTTAAGGTATTTCTGACTTCTCACAAATATTGCTGAAAGCAGCAGTTACTAGAGAGGTATAAATATTCAGTATTCTAAACTAAATAATGCGTTAAAATTTGGTATCTTAATCTTGAAAGTAAATAGTTAGAAAACTGATCATTTTTACAATCCATTTATATCAAATACGTCGATAATCATGTAAAAAATATTCACTTCATAATAGATCGTTTGAATAATAGCGCCTTCTCAGTTCGTGGTGAGATTGATGTTGCAAAAATCTGTTCTGATGCGTGTCCGCAAGATAACTAAAAACACAACATATTCGTAGTGGTAAATAATTTATAAAGCGGTCAGCCTCAACATCACTGTTTACCATTTGGCGCCGACCTTCACTACTGTATGGGTATACTGGTAAAGCTGAAGTTTAGAGATCAAGCATCGACGCCATTCTGGTACGCTAGATTGTTTTTGCAGACTGTCGACCCTACGTTTCTAATTCAGAAATACACTTCGCAAGATCAAACAAACGGCTGTTCTGATTTGAGTTTTTAACTTCCACATGGAGCATGTGTATAAGGCGTTGGATGATTTGTACGCGCACTATCATGTAGTTGCATACTACGTACTCGTTGACATTCTTTGTTTCGTAAATATCGACCTCTCAAGAAGGATGAAGATCGAGTAGCTATTTGGTTGAATCGTCATTGATAAAAAGAAACAACTGCCATTGGCTTGAATAATGAGATCGCTAGGAAACTTGTCGCACATGTTGAGCTACCCCCTTCCTTGAAAAGCAATTTTAAATTACATGGAGTTAGGTTTTAAAGGTATTAGTAGTGGTCAAACCAAAATCTGACATCAGTTCATGAAATCCATGAATAGTTGGTTTGAGTCACGTGGGGAGGTGTGAACTACCTAGTTGGGGTCCTCAAAATGCTAAAAATCAGTGGCTGGATACTATTGACGATGTGCCTCAAAATCTTTCAGATATCTTCAATCTTTAAATCCCCGTATCCTTTGGACATTAATGGTTTCCTGTGTTACTATTTTCCCCATCACATTTCTGTTCCTTGTATTTCTCTTTAATCCTTTTTTTCTTTCTTTTCTGTGTTTGAGTGCTACGTGACAACTTGAAGTGCTACACTTCTGTGTCAAGTCCTATGCTGAAACTCACTCAGTCAACTCATGAATTTTGTTCACCAAATGCCATGAATTGTTTGATCGCATGAAAAATACTTCTTAGGCAACAATTAAAAACAGTAGACAGAAAATATGCCATGCTTATTTGTGGCTTTAGAGAAGCGTGTCTTACGGTAGACAGTGTTGGAAATCTCAATCATATGCTGACCTGTTTAAGTCTTGGCGACCACAATATTTAGAATGGGAAGGCATGAAGTGTGCCGTCCATAATGTGAATTAAATATGGACGTTTGACTAGTAATACCTTCTAAACATTTACTGAATTTAGCAGTGCGGTATGTACCAAAACTTTCCCCTTGTTATGGTTACTGGAATAAGTCAAATAGATGAATAGTATCCATTATTACTTACTGATTTACAGTCATACTGAAAGGAAGGAACAATATTTCTTATCAGGAATATTGTGAAATTAGGTCCATGCATATTGGGAAGACTGAAAGATTTTCAGTCTGTCAAAGATTTCTGTAAAACTGATCAGATCACTTTTCAAGTGAAATTACTGTTCGTCAGCTGAAATGTCTTTAAGCTACCATATTCATGCTAATAAATAATCCCATCACTGTCATGAACTAATGTATATTCATTTTGACCAGGCGAACCTCACTCTACCCAAATAAAAATATTGGGGGAAATGCTTTTCATTGGAAACTTTCCACTGAAATTCTGCTATAACCCTTAGACTGCCCACTTTTTTCTATTTGGTCAAATTCAAAAGTGAAGTTCACAGGGAATAATGCGTTCCTACCAAAATTTATACAAAACGAAAGAATAACAATCAGGTTTTAACAGTTGGCTGTGATTTTGTTTGTAAGCCGAACTCATACTGTTTCTAAAAGACTAATCATATATTATTGCAGCATATTTTCGGGAAGGCAAGCTGTCTATTTATGTCAATACCTATATTTACACATAACACATCCATAAATAAACAAACAGATTTTAAGCCATCTAAAGACTTCTGGGTTACATACATGTATACACTGACAGATAATGTAATTCGGAGCATAAAAAGGAAACGTTTGCCACTGAGTCAAGGTGATACTCGGTTATAAAAGAAAACCTACGGAAAGCAACTTTTTTATTTCATGCGCCAGCATATCGGTAATAGCAACATTCTGTAAATGGACTAGAAAAACAATAACTATGAATTAAATGGAAAGTCTTATCAGAGTTACTAATATCAATTCTGTTAACGATTTAGTTTTTAAATATTTTCATAAGAAATCTGGAAATTGTTTAAATTTTAGGTTGATATTTCAAATATCACCTCTGTCTGTATAAAAAGGATCCTCTTATCCTGTGAAGAATTATGAGTTGGAGAATTCAGAACCTACGGTCGCTGCATGACGTTTTTTAACGTCTGGTTTCAAGGTTGTACACTCAAGGAAATGATTGGTCTGAATAGTCCGCTGATTAATCTTAATTACTACGTATGACTCAACTAATTATTCCGTTTATCTCAAACTATCTGTGGCTTCCAGGTAACTTAAAAGTGTGTCAGTTAAAGTCAGAATGGTAAGCTGCCGTTTTTTAACACTTGTTAACATTCTAAAAGATTCCAGTTTCGCTCAGTTGGTTATCTCACCTGATGTATCTTATAGTAAACATTAAGTACATAAATCATGAGAGGAAATAGTCTTCAGCTGCATCTAATTTCGTCATTGTATGCTTGTCTTTGCTGTTTTCGTGGACTATTTAAGATGAGAGCAATCAGTCAAACATTGTATACACTAGGTGTGTATGGCGTGCCTTTAGGTTTTTCATTCGCGATACTCTGATAAATAGCCAATATCTCTACTTGGCAATATAGGACCTACCTTATTTTGATTGGAATTCAGCATGCACCAAAGATAGAACTAGACACATTACACTAGATGCTGACTAGTGTCCAATCATAAATGTCCAATACAGTCATACAGGAGGTCAGTCGCTTGCCCGTAAGCTAAGTGCAGTGGTAAGGTCACTGGGTGAGGTGGGTTCGAATCTTAGAGGGGACAGTAGTTCGTTAGAGGTTGCCTATACGCATTGCTGACTGGTGAGTGCCAACTAGCACGAAACCTGGGTTAACTAAGACTTCTTGGCAGGTGCCTCTGACCGACTTATACAACCACCTTATCTTGAGAATGGATTTATTGTCGTCATTTTAACCTGCCAGCTGTTTCTGCCATTCGCTTATTCTGTAGAAGTGTCGCTGACGCATTATTCTAGAAAACAAATTAGTTAGGCTGCTTGAACGGCTTCGAGCTCATTTCCAGTTGGTTGAGGCTAGAAATATCGCTCATGGTAGATGTGTGGCCATCTATCCTACTAAATGTTAAAACTGATGGGATTAGACCACTGGATTCAAACCGTGCACTGAATGAACAAACGCCCGGACTGCGTTGACGCGAAGGTTCGTAAGTGTTTATAGTTTGCCGCAGACTAATACAACAATGTGTGGGAAATGTTTACTCGAAAACAGCCCGTTTTCACAGAAATGAACATAGGAAGTGGAGAATGATTCTGTGGAAAAGCTCAAAAGATGACTATGAACAATACCATATAAAAATTCATCAGTTCATCTCGGACAGCCAACGTGGTGTCTGTCGAACTGACTACACAAATTATGATACACAAACACCGTTCACAAACAATGCTGCCATTTTCATATATATGTTACTTTTCAGTTTTGCTTGGAGGGAAATTGTTTAGAGAGGCTTGATTATTTATTTGTGGTGGAAACGTGTGACCTCACAGGTATCCTGAAGTAATAGAGTGACGTATATTCACTATTCACGTGATTTGTTACACGTCACAATTTGGTGCCCAACTTGTCGCTTCCTATTCAAAAGACTTCTAATTGTTTAGATCCACCTGCCAGATAAATTTTCTGCCTCTAAATGTCTGCTTAGCTGTTTGTCAGGATGCGATCCCACGGGCCCTAAACATATTCGTGAGGCATTTTATGAGTCAGCAATCCTGTGTAAAGTGACATTATGGGCATTATCGCATAACCTTTTCTATGTATATATTATGTAGGTGAATAATTGCAAATATGCTTACTCCTCGTATATGTTATTTATCATACTGATGATGCCTGTAAACTGGAGTCCCTCATGTATAAAAACTGAGGATAAATGGAACATTTGACTTAGAGGGACATTATAGGCTCTGATTGGTGATAATGCCCGGTGCTGAAATTGCCTCCTCCCATGACGTGATTTTCCTGTATTCATCACTTTCTGTACAAAGACTTTTATCCGAGGTATCCTTTAGTTCCATTGGTACGATGCAGATCGATGTTTTGCTTTGGATTAACAGGATAATTATTCCACATTGGCTCTTGCACATACTGAATTCGCCATTCGTAAGGGATTGAACAATATAACTCTTTTCCCAATCGGCAGGTACTCTTCCTTACTTTTACGTCTTCTGCAATGGTGATTAGAGAATATCCGCCGATGTCTTGAGTTCCCTTTTCAATGCTTCTGAGAGAATTCCATCTGATCACCACACTTTCCCAGCTTACAATAGCTATGAGGCCTCAGGACTTTCGATTTTAGTGGAGAATATATATTCATTGGCAATTTTGTGACTGATGGTGGTATTTCTGAACCGGTTGCATGTAGTGAGAGATTCAAGAATTCTCTGAAACTATCACTGCAGCTTCTCCCTTATTTCTGCTCTTTGGCGACTTGGTTACCTGGCTGAGT